CCTGTGGCTGTAGGATATTTAGCAGCATCCTTGGCCTCTACCAACTAAATGCCAATAGCGCGCGTATATGCGCGCCCGCGCACACACGCGAGTCATGACAACCAAAAATGTCTCCAGACATTGCCAGATGCCTCCTATGAGGGAGTCAGCCACTGTTGAGAACCACTGAGATGGGCCATCTTAAACATGCCCCCCAAATATTGACAGACTCTGTCCAGCTGGTAACTTTCAGGTGGAATTGCTATTATTTTATTTANCATGTGTAATATGTTTAAAGAAATATAGGAATAAATTCAAAGTATGAAGGAACAAAAGTTAGAATTGACCAGGCAGACTTGAGGAGGAATCGAATAAAACCTCTAATGATAAAAAATATATATATTATCATCACAATCAGAAACACAGTGGTGTTTTAAGTAGCAAACTAGACACAGCTAAAGGGATAATTAGGGAACTAGAAGATGTTGTAAAGAAACTACCTGGAAGAGAACACAGAGTGACAAAGTGATGGAAGATATAAAAGAGAGGCTAAAACCCATGAAGGAGAGACTAACTAAAAAAAAGTAACAGTTTGCTTAGATATTTAGGTGATAGAAGAAGCAAGAATTGGCCGTGAGGGCCAAAGGGAAAAGCATAGCTATATATGATCTTGAGATTTCTGATTTGGTGGTACTGGAAAGGGCCTTTGTAACTCCAGCCTGCAATTTGGTCTGCCTTTCTCTAGGCTCAAGGAGAGAGCTGCACTCCAGTTCTGAAATCTCTCCCAAGAAAGCGAAATGGTCCAGCATTGTCACCTCTCCCCCATTATCCCTCTTCTCAGACGGTGACAGTTCTAAGTCTGAAAATACCTTGAGTCCCTCTGAGAGACCCAAAGGTAAGAGTTGGGGTCAATCTGACTCTAGATGGGGCAAACGTGGGTCAATCTGGCTCTAGATGGGGCAAATGTGGGTCATCTGGCAATATGGAGTCAAAGCTGCCACAGCTCCAGCTTAAACATCATCCACCTCTGCCTGGACCCTCAACCCAGCATCTTCCCCAGCCTGCAATCTCAACCTCAGTTCAACTCTACATGGCCTCTCCCTGCTCAAAGCCCCCTACTGTTCCCATCGCCCTCAGTCCCAGCTCTTCTTTAGCCTGCCGTCTGTATGGTCTGTTTCCTATCTTTGCTAAGTCTCTCACCTTGGCTCGGGCACTCCCTCCTTTGCCAACTCAGGGTCTGCTCTCTAGGAAGCCTGTTCTGAGTGCCATAGGCTTACATCAAGGCTTCCTCATTGCCCCCAGAGACTCTCTCATCTTCTTTGTCCTTTGCCTCCAGTGCCTTGTGCTGCCCTGATTTGAGCACATATATTGCTTTAGGTTCCACGTGCTTTTCAGCCTCACTATCTGGACTGGGAGTCCTTTGTGGGCAGGGACCAAGTATGACTTATCTGTATATGCTTCATGCCCAGCCAGTGCCCAGGACATGGGAGGCCTGAGGACTATGTGTCCGTCTCTTTCCATCTCCTTCCCACTGGTCCCTGGATCTGAAGTCACAGCCCGTGGAACCTTCCCTTTACTCCTCATTATCCTCTGGGCCCCAGAGGCCTCTTGCCATGATGTGCCTTGGAGGAATGGTGGGTGGGAGGAACAGGTAGGTGATGTTATCTTTTCCTGTATCCATGTCTGTCTCCTGTCATATCCACCCCTCTCTTGCAAACCTGGGAGCCCGTCAAGGGCAGGGCCTTAGTCTAGCAAATTTCTGGGCCTTCTTTATACTCAGCACGGGGCCAAATCCTGTGTCCAGGATGTTTTTGTTTTCATGTTTTGTGGGGTTTTTTGGCAGCTGGCTGGAAAAGGGATCCAAACCCTTGACCTTGGTATTACCAGCACCACACTCTCCCAAGTGAGCTAATTGGCCAGCCCCTGTTTCAGGATGTTTGAGGATGAATGTCTGGAATGTCTTTCTTCCCCCAGTGAACTTCTGCTCATCCAAGAAGACCCAACTCTGGTGTCCCCTCCTCCAGGAGGCCTCCCCTGACTTCTCCAGGCACAATCAATCTCTTTCTCCTCCAGGCCCTAATATCCCTCTATACTGCTTGGTCTCAGACTCGATTCTCACTGCCTATATCTAAATCAGACTTCCTCTACACACTGGGAGCTCCTAAGGGCAGAATCCAGGCCTGATCCATGTCTGGCTGCCAGTCATCACACAAAGGATCTAACCCATGGAAAGGCCCAGGAAGTGTTTATTGAGTGAACAAATGGATAAACGAACAGTATTATGAGTATTGTTTCATTCCCCATCCAACTCTTCTCTCCTGGTTGCTGCTTTTTCTTTATTCTGACCATCCTCCTGCAGAGGCCTGGAGCAGATCCCCAACCCCCAAAAGCAGCCCACAGAAGACTAGGCAAAGCCCTCAGACACTGAAGCGGAGCCGGGTGACCACCTCCCTTGAGGCTCTGCCCTCAGGGACAGTGCTAACTGACAAGAGTGGGCGATGCTGGAAGCTGGGATCCCTCCAGACCAGGGATGACCAGGGAATTCTCTATGAAGGTACACTCTGTCCATGGGTGGGTAGGTGCTGGGCTGGGTTGATCTGGGCCGTTTCAGCACTAGGACAGGGGGAGGGGAACCCCTTCTGAGAATGGGAACGGAAGCCATATCCCTAGCTGCAGATCTGCCTCCATGCAACTTGCTCTCAGACCCAGGACTGTAAACCTACCCACTTACAGGGGCCAGGCAGGTAGCATAAATGAGTGCAGCAGGCTAAGAGTAAGGTGATTGGGAGTGGTGGGGACTGTAGCCAAATGGAAAGCATGTGCCCTGTGTAGAGTGTGTTCCTCTTCAGCTCCACCTCCTATTGTCATGTGGGAGTGCAGGCCCAGTGGCCACAGGATAAGGACGATTGTTCTGGCCAACCTGCAGAGACAGGATGGACCCACTCAAAATTTGGTTCAGATGTCAAGACTGATGATGTCACTTCATCAAGAGGATTTGAAAGGTTTATTGCTTACATAATTGGTATCATGGCATACAGCAGGGCAGGCCTTCCATGGGGATCTGAAATGCCTTTACAGAGCAAGAAAAGGAGACTGGCTTGGGTTTTTCATTGTGGTTCGGGGCCCGGGCTGAGATGAGGCTTCCCACACATGGGCCAATGCCTGGCATGGTTTGAATCTTCCACCATCCTCAAAGGAGGGAACACCAGGCTTTCTTATCAGGTTGTCCAGATGAGGTGTTGGAAGGGGCAGAGCTCAAAAGCTGTCAGCAGTCAAACCTCAAACAATGGAATCAGACTTTTCAGTGCAATGAGGACAGTAACAACTGTGGTGGTAGCATTAGTATTAATAATACGTGGCATTTATTGAGTGCTTATCAAAGACCAGGCCCTGTTCTAAGCACTTTGTATGGGGGATTTTTTTTTTCATTTTGCAGTTTTGTTAATTGAGGTAAAATTCATATAACATAAAATTCACTCTTTTAAAAAGTGTAGCTTTTAATATATTCACAGTGTTGTGCAACCATCACCACTATCTAATTCCAGAACATTTCCATCACCCAAAAAAGAAACCCAATACCTTTTAGCAGTCACTCCTATTCCCCTGTCCTCCCATCCACTGGCAACCACTCATCGACTTTCTGTCTCTATGAATTTGCCTATTCTGGACATTTCGTTTGAACAGGATCATACAAATGAGAGCTTTTATGTCTGGCTTCTTTCACTTAGCATCATGTTTCCAAGGCTCTTCCACATTGTGACCTGTATCAGGACTTGATTCCTTTTTATGACTGAATAATATTCCACTGGATGGATGTACCCCCTTTAATTTATCTATTTATCAGTTGATGGACATTTGGGTTGTTTCTACTGTATGCTGTTATGAATAATGCAAAGCTTTGTGTACACGTTTTGGACCTTTTTGCTTTATACTTCCTAACTCTCTTAATTCTCACAATAGCCTTAGGATGTCAGTACTATCATTATTTCTATTTTAGAGACAAGGAAAATGAATCTCAGAGGTTCCTAGCCAGGCTTTGGGCTCCAGAAATCTTCCAAGTTTTCAGGAAAAGCCAGAAACCTGTATTTTGATAGGAAATATTTAATTTGGAAATGCTGGCTGGCCAGACAAGTGTGTGGGCAACTTTGGGCCTCAGACCTCTCATTGGCCATCTCTGCCTTAGAGTCTGGGTTGGAGAGCAGGACAGCCTGCATTTGAGACAGCCCCAGAGCTTAGTCCTGGCTTTGCTCTGGCATGCTGAGTTAGCCTGGGCAAGCAGCTCAAGCACTCTGTGCCTCAGTGCCTCCTGCCTGGAAAAGTGAGAGACAATGTCCCGCCCCACCTGCCTCCTGGGCTGTTGGTTCCAAATGACAACAGGGGATGGAGGCACAGAGCTGGGAAAAATGTAAAGGGATCCTCCCAGGCAGAAGGAGGTAGTGTTAATAATGGAGGGAGAGAAGGGCAAGGCAGGGAGAGGTAGGGGAGAGGAGAGAGCTTGCAGGAGTGTGCGCAGGAGAAAGGGGCATGAGCTACCATTTAAGGAGCACTCACTGTGTGCCAGCCACTGTTCTGGAGCTCCCAGCAACCTTGTGAGATAGGCACTCATATCGCCCCATCTTAGCAGGTGGAGCACAGAGAGGGTAAGCCACTCACCCAAGGCCACACAGCCTGGAAGTGGCGTAGTTGGGATTTAAACCCAGGCAGTCTGGCTTATCAACCATTGCACCAAGAAAGAGAGAGGAAGACAGAGGGAGAGAGTGAGAGAGAAGAAATCAGATGATGGAGGGAGAAAAAATGGAAAGGAATGAAATCCAACAGCAAGAAAGAGGTTGGGGGAGAGCAGGGTTTGGGAGAGGGCAGGGAAGGAAGCATCTGAAGAGAAGAAACCACACTTGCCTCACCAGAAACCACAATGGGAAGTACAGGAGGAAAATACCCTGAGCTGGTGTGGCTTCACCTTTTGTGATTTGTGTTGTTTTCTAAAAATAGCAAACCTCTTCCTACCCACCACCCTGCCTGAGTCATTCATTCCTTCAGCAGATCCTTAAGCAGCATCTCCTATGTGCCAGGTCCCATTGCCAGTGCAGAGACACAGTGGTGAGGGGAGCTGGGCTGGTGAAGGCCCTACTGCATTTGGCTTTACCCCAGGGCAAATTACCCTTATCTTCTGCCAGTTTGCACCAGCTGAGAAGAGAGGGTGGAGTTTTATGACCTGTAGTTTAAAACAGTAATGGTAAAACAACAACAAGCAGAATTGTTACTGTTACAGCAGTGGACACTTTGATCCCACTCTGTGCCCCACCAAAGTTCTGAGCACTTTACATCTAAGTCTTATCTGTCAGATATTGAATTATAATGTCCTACCCCCTGGACTCCTTGGAGCAATATGGGAGAACCATTACCCCCTGTCAGTCGCGTTCATCCCTGCAGCTGCTCACCACTGCCTTGGGAGTGTAGCAGCTCAGGTTCACTCCAGGGATGCCTTCTGCAGTCTCTACCCTTGTGGATGGAGGTTTGGAATTCAGAAGTCCA